TTTTTCTGGACATCTAGTCAGCAATTACATTTTTTTGGTATCAAATGTTATGTATTATTTTTTTCCAAATAATCAGTCCTTTACAATATACTTTCGTAAGACCGTTATTCATGAATGACATTGATGACTGTAGTTATCGCGCAGCTAAATGGTCACAATCCTGACGGTGACACCTGTGTTCTCAAGGCAGCGATCAAGATCAAAGTCTCCAGGTGATATTGGAGGGTATTCCTGATCTGTCGGTGGTATAAATTAGTTCTATAAATACATCTATCGATACAGGCAAATGTCAGATGACTTGACAGTCACTGAAATGACCAAGGCATTCATTGTACAGTAAACTACGTTTATAACGAACACGCTATGACGAACTGACGGATATAACGAACTATTTTTGTCCTGTCCATTTGCTGTAAATATTCTGAACATTTGCTTATAACGAACTACGGTTATAACGAATTAAAATTAGTGGTACCTCTGGGTTCGTTATAACCGTAGTTTACTGTACATGCCACGGATACCGTCGAAGGTTATTTCACCCAAAACGTAATTCTATAAATGTCTTAAATACAGACACGATGTATATAGTCTTAAATATTTACTGGATGACGACAAGTCATCGGCTAGTCTGACAGATCATCTAGCGGATGCCCCCTTTACAGGTACAGCACTACAACAGGTCAACCAGGTCACATGGCCATTTTGGGTGATGTAACTTTCAAGTTAGTCATTTCCAGGTTGGTGAGATGAAACGAATCTCATCCTAATTACGTGTTATATCTAATGAAACCTGAATTAAAAACAGCCATTAAATTAGTCAGGTTTCCAAAGCAGCAAGTCCTGTTCCTTTGAAAATCATTATACCCCCTCTCCCTATGTTACATCACGCAGTCCATCTCATTCCAGCACGGCACTCGGTCGACTATTGAAGTATGAATAGTCAAAATGTTGCGAGCACTCATTAGTTAACTTAGGCTTCAAATTACCGGATTAGACTTAAAGACATTTGTCCCAAAAACCACCGTCATTGATTTGGAGTTGGAATGAAGTCCTCTGAACTGTTCAGTCGAAACGGAAGTTCCCAGCCGTAATTTGCATACCGTGCAAATAAAGCCCTGGGGTCATTATTGACCGGAAAATAAGGTCCCCGTTGAATGATTGTGACTCTAATGGAGGCTTATGGCTTCTTTCGTTTGTGCGTTGAAGGACCTGATTCAGCCATGCGATTGTGCTGGATAGTTAAATCCTAGGTCACACATATTTGAGAGCCAAATGATGTAAATTTGTCAGTTTTTCTTTCCCTCGAGGGCCAAGGTTATCAAAATGTTTAATTGGTGGGCCATGTTATAGTGCCCAATGTGGCCACGAAGCAAAGGTTTATTGATTCACCGGACAAATGCAAAGCTGGTTATGGGAAATTGCCATCAGATTGTGATTTTTCAAAATGTACGTTTACTAAAGCATTACCAGAATTTCATTTCAAACAAGAGTTTTTACTCAGTGAAATAAGGTGTGTCGATGGAGCCGGTTCTTCACTCAAGCCGGCTGAGAGTTCATTGACTGAGTCAACACTGAGACGCTGCGACCAGCGGGCAACCATAACAGTGTCATTAAGAACTAAAGCATAAGTCATCACATGAAAAGCCTAATCCTTTATAATTCTATCATCAAAGCAATACATTTATTGAAATAATATGATACGATAATTTCATTGACTTGTGTCAATAACTTTAGTTTTTCTTATCTTTAATTCAGTTCATCTTCAGTTTTAAATTAGGATATATTTTAAGACAATAAAATTAATTTTCAGTCCCATAGATTTTTTTAAGAAAAGTCTAAGAAATGAAAATATTTATGTATTTTGCGTCAAACCACGCTCATGCTTTCAGGAGCTCTCAATATTTAAGCTGTGTCTGATGAGTAAGGGTCATGACGTTATTGTTACATTAGTGCTATAAGTTGCTGCTTCATCAGCTGAGCTAAACACTTGTGACTATTCGACAACAAGCACGTCAAGCTGTTAGGGTGCTCATGGTATGATATGGACAGAAACAGCACAGAACAAAATAAATAAGAATTAAATCGTTAGTCTGGACCCCGTTAATCTAGACACCCCGCATATCGGGCAATTGCTGCTGGGTAAGCTTACATGAGTATAAAGTGCCTTATTACTTTGAAAATGTGTTGACGATGACAGTGGGAACGCTACTGTCTGGATTATATAGTGTTCAGTTTCTAGCATATCGCAGTCTGTGGTGATGCATGTATATGTGGGTAGGTGACAGTGTTACTTAGTCAGCTAACTAGGTTCGATTCCCCACATAGGTACAATGTGTGAAGAACAATTCTGGTGTCCCCCGCCGTGATTTGGCTGGAATATGACTGAAAGCGGCGTACAACAGAACTCATTCATGTACATGTTGTCGCCGTTGGTGTTACAGCTATTAGCATCAGTGCATAGACATAATGAGGCATGGAGGTTCAACCAATGAACAGGCCTCAAAGAGTTCTCCTAAATAACTATTGCTGGCTACATTTGGGTAAATATTCATTTGCTGTTATTTCACTACGAATGTCGTCCAGTCAACTCCGAATGTAACTAACTCCAACGAAACAGGAATGTTTGTTGGTTACATCCGATGTTACATATATAACACTATTATCATTAACGATGTGATGACCACTCATCGTGGCATGGTAATACTGGACTGTTTTGTTTATAATTAATAATTAATAACTGATGTCATACCATTTAAACGAGCACAAACCATACATTCCTTAGTGTAGTATCCCGGGTTAGAATGGCCTTGCCACGGAAACCGTTAAGGGCTGATTTGGTATCCGGCAATAGTCGGAAACATAATTCGGGGTAATTCATATAATTACATCGAACTGCGAAGGCGGTGTCGTTTCCAGCTTCCTGATACGTAGTGACTATGGTCAGTCGCCATGTGAACTATTGGTATTTTAAGCCACTTAGTCAGCGCAAATCTGCTTTAAAGAAAATGATAGTGAGTGAGTATGGTTTTACGCCGCTTTTAGCAATGTTCCAGCAATATCACGGCGGGGGACACCAGAAATGGGCTTCACACATTGTACCCATGTCGGGAATCGCACCCGGGTCTTCGGCGTGTCGAGCGAATGCTCTAACCACTAGGCTACCCGACCGCCCCTAAAGAAAATGATAAGCGACCAGGAGTCGATGAGCTTATTTTGTTTCAGCTGGGTTCTTTGTTTCCCTATAGGTCTACTGTAGTTTTTCATATAGATCAACTTTAGTAAAGTTTTTCATACAGGTGAGATGTAGTTAAGTATTTCATACAGGTGAGATGTAGTTAAGTATTTCATACAGGTGAGATGTAGTTAAGTATTTCATACAGGTGAGATGTAGTTAAGTATTTCATACAGGTGAGATGTAGTAAAGTATTTCATACAGGTGAGATGTAGTTAAGTATTTCATACAGGTGAGATGTAGTTAAGTTTTTCATACAGGTGAGATGTAGTTAAGTATTTCATACAGGTGAGATGTAGTTAAGTATTTCATACAGGTGAGATGTATTAAAGTATTTCATACAGGTGAGATGTAGTTAAGTATTTCATACAGGTGAGATGTAGTAAAGTATTTCATACAGGTGAGATGTAGTTAAGTATTTCATACAGGTGAGATGTAGTTAAGTATTTCATACAGGTGAGATGTAGTTAAGTATTTCATACAGGTGAGATGTAGTTAAGTATTTCATACAGGTGAGATGTAGTTAAGTATTTCATACAGGTGAGATGTAGTTAAGTATTTCCACATCGGCCAACTAAAGTTAAGTATTTTATATAGGTCAGCTTTCGTTAACTATTTTCATATAGGTCAGCTGTTGTTGAGTATTTATATATAGGTCAGGTTCAGTTACGTATTTTGTAACAGGTCAGTTTTAGTTAAATATTTTCATATGGGCCACAGTAGTTAAGTGTAATCATATAGGACAAACGTTTTGTCGAGGTGCATGCTTGTGCCCGACAGCATTGGGCGTTGCTCACGTTATCGACCGTTGGTTTTCTTGATGCAAACTTAATCACACGCCACAACGATACACCGGAATATTGCTGACTGCGGCGTAAGCAACAAATAACAGTTACCCTACCCTTTGTATATCGCTTACAGTACATGTTTGACTAGTCAACCACACTTGTCTTGTCTCCTGAGAGGGGCCCAAACTGGATCGGGTGGTCGGCTTTTGCGACTTGGCTGCGTTTTCGTTTCACATTCCTCAGTCACTGGTTTGTTGGTCTAGACTTGATTATAACAGTCGGCCTTTATAGTGTCGGCATTCCCCGTCATTCACTTTCTAACCCCAAAGATCCGGGGTAGAACAGGTCTTCAGCAGCCCATGCTTGCCGTTAAAGACGACTACGCTTGTCGAAAGAGGCGACTAACGAGATCGGGTGGTCAGGTTATCTGACTTTGTTGATGCATGTCATCGTATCCCAATTGTGTAGATCGATGCACATGATGTCAGTCACTGGATTGTCTGGTCCAGACTCGATTATTTACAGACAGCCGTCATAAAGCTTGAATGTTGCTGAATGCGGCGTTAAACAACAAACAAACAACCAACACTTAGTCAACTCAGTGATATAATCGTTATGCCATGGCTGTTAGGAAACTTTCAGTCCATGTCAAATATATCATCTAATTTGAAGAACAGAAAGAGTTGGTTTCAAAGTGATAACCTTTTTCACTTCTTGCTGTCTTATTTTCTGCAGCTGTGTGTTGACTGAAGATCTTGCTCTTAAACTATTAGTCTACATGTAACGACTGTAATACGACGCTACATTATTTATGTCATAAATCACAACACAACTGAAATGTTATGCATACATGACGAATCAAAGTTCACCTGTGATCAGCAAGGAATAAGACATGTTAACGCCGTAGAGTAACAACACACCTATAAACATTGACAGGAGACAGCTTCGGAACCCTTAATTTAAAGATTTATCCAGAAGATTTTCCCAATGCTCATTCTTGAAACTTAATCGCCATAACGAGGCTCCGGCAAAATCATTTTGATCATGGACAGCTGATTCCTCTTCCCAAGAACAATTTCACAAGCGTTTGTCATCTCTAAGAACGCTAAGACTTTTCATTCTTAACCAGACAAGACATTTCTCTTTATGTGGTCCGGCACGACGGTCCACACTATATATAACCGGAGTCATCAAGTCAAATTAGTTACGATGGAGGCCAGGCAAAGAGATTGAAAACTCCTACCTACGGCGTCTGTTCACAAAGGGACGATCCGCTCTTTTACATCGATTGAGGAATGAACTGTTTGGTGTATTGTGGACAAGCCATTAGCTATGGGACCCGAAGAGGCGCGCTGAGTTTAGCCAGTTGGTTCTTCAACCCTGCTAACTTCAAATTGAATGTTGCACGCTTGCCGAGATCGCGCTAATCCCTGCTCGCATTCCTGGGCACAATTGTTGATTTTTCATTCACACGATCAGCAATTAATGTCTGATTTATGATGTTTCCTGTTTTATCGTCTAGTGGGGATGTTTCTGCTCCATATGGCTGACGGAATACGCGAGTGGTCGAGGACCTAGAAGATCCGACTGACGAATTTATCAACTTTTCCTCCTGGCTGGAGGATTTCATTTGTGAAAGGAGCAATGCGTTTGTGCAGGAGGGATTGTGCTATGCTTAGAACATTCTACTGAGCTTCCACGACGGAGAGTTAACGGATACTTGTATACGAGGTAATTTACTTGATAATATCATTTGTCAATTGCATTGATAACAATTTTCCATATTAATGTTGTTGGCGTTAAATTGCAATTTCATCGCAACATCTCGTGATGTTTCTTCCTTCAAATATGCCAATTTCATGGTTGCTTTTCGAATGATGTTTGTTTTGTGTTTTTTTTTAGCATTGCGAGACAAATACTGTACAATGGTGTTTGTTTCTCATGTCCGGTTTAATAATGCAACTCATTCTGGATTGTTCTGATGTAATTCATGTTAATTAATTTTAACATATGGTACACAATTTGAACTTCAGAAACATTACAGAACAAATACAACATATTGATTTTTCATTGCTCGCAGTGTCAGATCTTCCTTCTTCGTTATTGTTTTGCACAGTTTTTATGTATTTCATACAAATCGACCAGAAAGGACATGAACATATTTTACTATATTCACAAGATCAACACTTTTACCTTTAGATACAAGACAAAATCTGTGAAGGTTCATTTTCCTTTAGCGATTACACTGCAGAACACCCATTGGTTTTTCAGTACGGTAAGATGGATGAAAACTTCGTAATACGTAATACGTATTACGATCCTGCAAGGGTTGTTACATGTAGCCATTATCATATTCCATAAAAAATGTTGGATACCACACAGGATACCACACACACGTTTAACACCATACATAGGCATGTATCATATCATAATATGTAGAACGTGTTATATATTAACATATTATTTTGATACTTGTAATTCAGAATACAACATAGTTCGTCTTCAACTTGCATGTCTATCACTATGTTATTTACACTGTTCATTTAGTCAGTCAGGACCAAGCAAAGCTAGGCATGCTCCTACAACAATACATGAATAATACCATGTCCCTCCGCGCGTGTTTTAGTTACCGACAACGATGCCAACCTGGGTGCAAGTGTAGTGAACCCAAAACGTTAATGATTTGTACACCTTGGTAATGTACATGCGCACATGCTGTGATCAGAAACGCATATGTATAACCGTGGCTTGTGTATGTATACTGATCTGTGAAACATATTGCAGAATATAATAATAACCTATGTTAATCAAACTACTACATCGTTCTTCAGCTAATATTAGTCCCGTTTTAACTTTAAACGTCTAAACTGCCGGGGGCAAATAGCATACATTTGAAAAATGGATTTGAACAAAAAATTACAAACGTTATCAGAACGTTACTAGGCTGAAACAGTTTAAAACACAATCTGGATACCCGTTTCAAATACATCACCATCGAGTAACCATTTCTTGTCTGTTTCATATTTAGCCACCATGAAACATGGTGTATTTTGTCCTTGCCCGGCAGTTTACATCGCAAAAAAAATAAAATATGTCATGGTTCTAGAGGGTATATGCTCTGAAATGATTTTGAAATATCTTTGTCAATCAAGTGTATTAAAGCAGTGGTAAGAACGTTTCTCGGCTAGCTCTATGTTTACGTGGGGATAGCAATTTACCCACAAGAAAATGTAACTAGGACGAACGGAGCAAAATGAACTACTGACACACGAACGTGTTTGTAAAGCTTGATACTTGTGATTCATGTGTAAGGTCTATAAGATAGATTAATCACATCAGAAAATGATCGCTATTTCCTGGGGAAGAATTAGTGACTACTTTCCTCCCACTTATCTTACTATTAACACTAATGGTCTCTGAGGATGGACACGGTTCCAGATAAAGCACGACTGTACTTGTACAACTAGCAATGTATGTCAGAGGACCGCACGACGCGCTGATGTGGACTAGCCAAAGCGATCTTAGCGCTACGATTGGCGTAAGTCTACGTCTACGGTCATTTGTGAGAGTTACGCAACCTTAGCATCGCAATGTGGAACGGGGCCCTGTTCCTGTATTTCAGTTCAGAGAAACTCTATGAGACACAATTCCAAGAACCATATAAAGGACATTGCATGCAATACGTGTTGTGATATGAACATGATAGTGTTGTAGCCAAACACGTATGTTTCTACGACCTCACCGTATGTTTCACGCAGTGTGAGGTTAAGTTATTATCAGGTTATTGGTGAGTTTTTCCTCATAGTGATAGTTACACTAGCTCAAGGTGTTTGTACTTCTGTATTTGATGACATATTCGTGTGGAAACTGGTCAACAATAACATTAACAGCTTGTTTTCAAATAAACTTAATCTTGTTGTGTTTATCTGTTTCGTCTTTCAAGGGAGCATATCGTTGTAAGAGACCAGCTAGTTAGTGTTATATCAGAAACAGGACCTAGTCGATCACCACTTCAAAACATACATATATATCTTTTAAAAAATATTTTACGACCATGCATATTGTGAAGACAAATTCACCGACCATCAACTTATATCGGATTTATCCAGCTCAACTGTAAATCTTATGTGTGATATTGAGTTTTTGAGCAGACTTGATCAGTCTCCATTTATTATATAATCGTAATGTCTCAAATATCCACAATTAACAACACAAACTGCAGCGGACAATTGAAACATAATGGTTTGCTAAGAAACGTTTTTAATTAGTGACACAGTTTTCAGAGTTTTTTGTGCATTCGGAACAACCAATGGAAGAGGAAGAATATAATGGGATGTTTTTTTTGTAATTTGATATTTAAAAAGTTCAAACTGGAAATCAGTACGTCCAGTCTAATATAATTCATAACGTATTGATTAATTGATTTCGTTCCGGAAAGGCAAACTAAAACAATGTGAATCGCATGCTTGTTCTTCTCCGAGAGTAACCGTAACACAAGTATAATTATGTACTTCTCAGACCGTAACCGCTGCGCACTTGTGATTATATGCTTCTCAGGGAGTAGCATCATTCTAATTATCTACTTTTTAGAGGCTAGTCGCATGACAATATTAAATCATATACTTCCCCCGGGATAGCCTCTGTAGGTAGATCACAGAGCATGGGGGACAACTATGTTGACTTCAGGGTAACACAGTTATGTAGATCACAGGCTAGGGGATGTAACACAGTTATGGAGATCACAGGGGGTTGAGCAGAATTTTTATTTATTACCCACAGGGTTAGAAATAACTGAGTTAATAAAAATCGTATGTGCGCTAGTGCAAATATTACTTCACGCGCACCAGTGTATTGTGTCCGTCATCCGGACATTGTTGACGTCATTCGAATTTTATTGTAATGTAAAGACGGAATGACGTAACACTAGAAACGACTTCATAGCTGAATATTGTTGACGTCATTCGACAAATTGTTGTTTTCTAGGACAGCGGTGGTGATCAGTGCATTATTTTGTAAAGGGGAGCTCAAGAGGATAAAGAAAAAATGATTTCTAAAGAAATTATTACGCTTACATGTGTATCATACTGATTTTACAAAACAAGTGTAAAAATTCATGTATTACCCTCGCTCTCGTTCGGGAAATACAATAATTCTGACACTCGTTTCGTAAAATCAGTATGACTCACATGCTCGTATAATAATCTCTATGTACGTACTAGGATGGTCGTTGCAAACTCAAATCATGTGTATTTGTTTGTCCCTGATGAGGATAAAAAGTTAGTAAGTAAATAACGGCAGTCTAAACTGCATTTCAATTGTATCAAAGAGTATCAACTTGATGTTGGGGGAGAGTCCGAAGTGATACAGGTCTTACACACGGATACAGTGCTGACAAACCTAGAAACATAATCAGGTCGAAGGAGAATGTAAACCCACAGTCAGGGGTTTCTGGCATATTAGTGGTGCTGACACTAAACATGCATTGTATTGTCATCATATACATACCTTTGTCATAGAACACAAAGTAAACTAACAAAAGTAAAAATGGTATATTTGCAAACTCAGATTATTTGTAGTAACCAATATCTCCAGATATGACGTTTCGCTCAATGTCGAAATGAGGTGATAACGTCATGACGTCATAGTGAATCTACTAGGTGAAGCTTGTGAGGCATTTAGGCAGCCTGGTTATTGAGTCTTGAGATCGTCGCCCACGTACTGTCTTTAATGTCTGTATCATACACTGAATGTGCAATTGTCATTATGATTATTTTGGGAGCATAAAGGATTAAAATCTATTTATTTCCTTTGCATATTGTGAGTGATGAGGTGGTTTATGACTAACAAACCAATCCTGACAATAAACAGTATTAGCTGTGGACTGTTATACAGAGTCAGATGAACAATTGTTATACAGTGTCGATGGGACAAATGTTAGACAGACGCACTGGAACGACTGTTAAACAGTGTTAGTGGTATGATTGTTACACAGTCTCAGAGAAACGAGTGTTAGACAGTGTCAATCGAACAACTGTTAGACAGTGTCAGAGGAACGATTGTCAGACAGTGTCAGTGGAACAACTGTTAGACAGTGTCAATGGAACAACTGTTAGACAGTGTCAATGGAACAACTGTTAGACAGGCGCAGAAGAACGATTGTTAGACAGTGTCAATGGAACAACCGTTAGACAGTGTCAATGGAACAACTGTTAGACAGACGCAGAAGAACGATTGTTAGACAGTGTCAGTGAAACAACCGTTAGACAGTGTCAATGGAACAACTGTGAGACAGGCGCAGTGGAACGATTGTTAGACAGTGTTAGTGGAACGATTGTCAGACAGTGTCAATGGAACAACTGTTAGACAGACGCAGTGGAACGATTGTTAGACAGTGTCAGTGAGACAACCGTTAGACAGTGTCAGGGGAACAACTGTAAGACAGGCGCAGTGGAACGATTGTTAGACAGTGTTAGTGGAACGATTGTCAGACAGTGTCAATGGAACAACTGTTAGACAGTGTCAGGGGAACAACTGTTAGACAGTGTCAATGGAACAACTGTTAGAAAGACGCACTGGAACGATTGTTAGACAGTGTCAGTGGAACAACCGTTAGACAGTGTCAATGGAACAACTGTTAGACAGGCGCAGTGGAACGATTGTTAGACAGTGTTAGTGGAACGATTGTCAGACAGTGTCAATGGAACAACTGTTAGTGTCAGGGGAACAACTGT